TCTTTCCCTTCCCTCCTTCTTCTCTTTTTGGTCTTTGCATTTCCTGCTACCAATAGGCCATTATGCAACTTTAACTCTTAAGTTTGTATTATTCTCTTGTATTCATTTTTTTAGTCATCAATAATCCTTGCTTGCACTTTTCTATTTTTTATGTTGCTGGTTTTATTACTTGCAAAAAACGCAAACCCTCCTGAAGCTCCTATATTGGTCTCCTCTATCTAATGTTGATGTATTTCCTCCATATTGGGAAAGTTTGCTGAAGTACCTGAATAACCAGGAATTGATAACATTCTTGGAGTTCTTCCACAGGGACTACTCCTACTAAAACTTGTAAGTTTTATAAAATCTTCTTCTGAGATTAAAGCATTTTCTGATTTGCAAGGGACAAATAAAAGTCTTCATACAGTGCTCATTTTAAAGTTTTAAAGCATGGATTTTAGAACTATTTAACATTATTTGTTATTAAGCAGGGTAATCCATTTAGCAATCTGACTGAAAACAGAGTTTAATTAGGTTGAAAGGATATGAGCTCTAGGAACAGACCTGCTTATAGTCTACAAGAATAAAAGTTGCATACCCCCTGAGAGTTCAAGAACTCTGCTCCTGTTCTGAGTTAAGGCAGTTGATTTCTGGACACAGGCAGATAATACCATGGCAGAACTTTCCAGCTTTACTTCCTGCTCCTCCTGACAAAGAATACAAGTCAAAACTTCTTTCTCAGCAACAGATGGACCTCGTTTGGGACCCAAAGCAATTTTGGAGCAATCAATTGCTGAAGACACGCTGTAAGACCATAAAGTGACAGAGAAAAAATAATCAGATGGATTTTTCTAAACAACTCCATTCTTCCTGGCATCTAAAAATATTACACACTGTTAACATTTCTGGTTTTATACCAAAGTGCTTTCAAAGACCAAATTATAACCAAACAATAAAGAAACATCTCAATCCTCACTAAAATGTAGTATTCAAAAATAGACAGTGGAAGCCAGCTAAAACAGAATAACAACACAATGAAATTAATTCAGACAGTAGGAAATTCAGGAAGCTGTACTCAGTGTAGATTGGATTAACTATATTTTAATCTTACAGACACATTGAATTTGTTTACCATTCTTGAAGAAAACATACTGAAAATGAGTGCCACTATTTTGTGACACAATAAGCTTCCATACATTAAAAAAAAATCCCTTACTTCAGCATTCAGCAATGATTTCTAGAACACAATTTATTACAGATCAAAGCACAAAGAAGGGATCTGTACTTTTATTTTCCAGCAGATCTCTGATCTTTTTTGTGCAGCCCCAAATAGATCATAATTGTGAGTTCCATTATACTATATTGTTGAAGTATCTCTAGAGCAGGAGCAATCCATACTAACAAAATTATAAACTATCATAAACCTAAATCTTCCGTATGAAATTAGATTTTAAAAACTAAGACAGAAGTATCAACAACTTGATCTACAAGAAGCATATTTTCTTCATTGAAACATAACCTTACGGTACATTTGCTTTCAGATTATTTCCAAATTAAATACTTGAATTTGGATATACGGTAGACAGGTCACCTCCAAAATTAGTGTTGTCAACTCAGCAGCTCTTTAATGACATTTTTCAAATGTTAAGAAATATAAGTATCCTACATTTGAAGAAACAATTTTCTTATTGTTTCTCCTATGCTGCTGTACAAAGTTAAGTCCACTGTTCCTACATATACATGCTAGTTTACATACAATCCTGTAACAGAAGATTACTCAACAGTAAGTAGAGACACATGTTTGCTGACTGGGCTGACAAAATCTGCACCTTGAACATACTTCCAAAATTTTTATTTAGATTAATGAACTTATGTAGCAGGTAATAAACTCTTCCCACCAGAACTCCGGATATCTGCTTTTTCTTACCTTTCTTCCTCCATAATGGCATCTTCTTTCCCATGTGCCTCCAGTGTGTTTTCATATAGTAGCTTATGGGTTTCAATGAAATTCTTCTGCAGTGCAGACATCTGGGCCATTATCTTCTGACGGTGCAGCCTGGCAGCTTCTGCCTTTCTCTTTCGCTCAGCTTTCTCTTTATCCTGACTGCTCTGTGTCTTGCAATAAGAGAATAAAGAAATCTCAGGCAACAGAAAATATCAACAAATGAGAAGAATCCTTCCATAACAATATGCCTTCTAACCACTGACATCAAAGTCCTTAACCGACAACATTTTAATGATGAAAAATACTTTTACCTGAAAAATTTCAGAGTAAAATCTTAAATGCTGAATTAGGTTCGTTAATCTAGTCAGAAGAAAGATTCTGCTGGGTACACAAAAGGTCACTAATACAACCCCTTGTCCAAAGACAGGATCAATAATCCATGATTCATTTTAATCAGGTGTCTGTTCTTAAGAAACTTCAGTGATGTCAACATCAGAAGCCGCGTCCAGTTTTTTATTATTCTCCTCATAAGCAAACCGCCCCATTGAGAATCTATTATCTTCCTTGCAGGAATTAAGGAAAATTGCATCTTGAATTATCTATGGACAACACAGCAGAAGTGTGCTCCTACATTTTTTTGACAACATTTTATGCATCTGAGGATGGTATTTTCCCCTATTCTTCTTTATTACAGACTGGAAAATTATTTTTCTTCCAGTACATCCTCATCGATCATGCTTTCAAAACTTTAAACAAAGTATTTATATGCTTTGGAAACACAGAATCCAAAGAGGCAGACTTAGTTAAAACATGCAGAACCTAATTCCTCTTGTTCAATTATTTAAGGTATAAATTCAGGATTACACACATTACTTCCTTTCACAATACCATTACTTTTTGAGGAAATAAAACAAACAACAAATTGCTCCACAAGCAGCGGAACTGTAAAGTCTTACTTCTTGCTGACTTTTGTATTTTGTTGCCTTGTCTTTCCAGATACTGTATGACACATTTCTCAAAAAAGAAACACAGCATATGCTGTGATAAACTGAGAGCTATGCATGCAATGACTAGCCAAGAAATTATTTGGCAGCAAGGTGCAGCCAACAGAATGTTGAGTGAGAGTTAAGAGCAAACTGGTCTGGCTTTGCCCAGTGTCTAAGGGCAATCAGATTCTTCTTTTCTATTCAACTGCCAATTAAAAAAAACCAAATAAACAACCCAAACCTCATGGGACTGCAGTGATCTTTGAAATCTCCATTTCTCTGTGTCATTTGACTACTGGATTCAAAAGTTATTTTGAGGGAAGGGGGCAAAGACTGATACACAGACAGAATAATCACCTAAGTCTGATGTATTTATACAATCAAGGCAAAGCAGATTAACCTCTGGGTCGGTCATGTAAATTGCAAGACATCATTTTAAGTGGATTTGTATTTCTAATTATTGCACAATGACCACATAATAGGAAAGGTAGTCAAATCATAAAGATAAGAAATGAAGAGATGAATAGAAATTACTTCTTAACCCTCCTCAGTTGTTTCACTTAACATGAAGTGTAACCAAAACCACATTAGGTGCTGATAATTCCACAAAGCATGCTTAGCATCAATTGAATTTATTCAAAATATTAATCTTGGAACCTAAAACCTATTTGTAGGCACCATATTTTAAAAGTTATCACCTCAGGAAACAAATTTAGGCACCTGTTTGAAAAGAGCTGCTCACAACATTTAATATAAGCTTTCTGTTGAATTTTTTTATTATTATTACCTCATCAACTTTTGTAGCTTCTGAGCCTGAAGCAGGTGCTACTGTTGTCAAACTAGACTTTTCTCTCAATCTTTTCACTGTGTCAAACATCTAGGAATAGAGACATAGATGTTAAAAATTAAATACAACTTGTGTCTCATTATATACAGGATTAAAGCTCTTGATATTTAGTTTATTTTCAGATTTACAAATGGACAAAACGAGCTGCCATACTCCTAAATAATAAAAAACACCCGAGATGGTATGTGCACTTCTGTAACACCTCTGTGTCTGTATCCTAAACCTGATAAGCACTGCTCAGTATGAAGAAAAGTCTTCCAAATTTTCCAGTCTTCTTGCACTAATACTGTTAAGCAGCTAAAGCATCTGCACATCAGAAGAATGGACAGACTGCTCACTTATTTCAAAAAGCTTAGACGCGGATCAAACCATGGAAACAGTTCCTAAAATAATGCAAATACCCTACACATCTGGAACAAAAAGCTTTCCAGCACCCACCCAAATAGTTAAGACTGAGCCTTCGATTCTCATTTACTATTTTTTCTAGCTATCTTTAATAAGCATCTTGAAGCTTTGATATTATTAAATATTCTATATTTACGATGTGTACCATTAAAATGTTAAGCATACTTTTTAAAGTGCATTTTTACTTTTGCCCTTGGAATTTTAGAATAACTTCTCAAAAAAATCTTTCAAACTTGCCTCCCTACTGTACCAGCATAGTCAAATTTTAGTAGTTGAGGATAGTTTTGGAACCCTATTATGGATTCTTACCCTCTTTTCCAAGAGCACTGTCTTCTATGTTTGCCACCTAAAACAAGAAGCCCAAAATGGAACAGGACAGTAGTACTCCTGCTAAGCAGAAGAAGCAGCCTCCTACTTTAGAGAAGGTGTCACAGCTTTAGAAGTTTCTCCTGTCTCTTACTAGGTAATGTCAGGGAATTGGATGGAAAAATTCCACTGGTCAAATACCCATCTGGCTAACGGCCATGTTGTGCATGAATCAAGCTTTAATACAAGCAGCTCCTAAAGTGTTTTCCCAATTAATAAACTTTTCCATATCAGTTATTACTTTGCAACAGAAACATGAGGTATAAATTTTACATATGGCATTACTGGAATGAGTTATCTAAGAAAAAATTAACCCAATGCTTGAAAGTAGCAATAGCAAGTACAATGACTCAAACATGAACATATATTCAAGAAACCATCCTGTCTGGGGGGAAAAATGTTGTCAAGAAATCACTGCAGCTGTAAACACTGAGTTTTATGTGGAAATCATAACATGATAATATCTTTCATGAAAGCTTTCTAAATTACTAAAATCACATCATACTTATCTCCTTCTCGTGTACCTGCAGAATCCAATTGACTGTGTCCTTTTGTGCCTCTAGCTGAGGAACTCTCTTTAATTTTTCCAGAAGCATTAACACATTCACAGCATTCATGGCTGAGCTTCCCATTCCTTTAAAAAGGAAAGAAAAATAGGAAACTGTGGGTTTTCAGGAAAAGAAAAACAAACCCTCAACATTTTAATGTATTTACAACCATGGAAATGCCTTAAAACATTCCTAATTATATAACACACATGTATAAACACAACCTGTGCAGTTACATTTGTTTTAATTTTATCTGTTCATGCCAGTTAAATGCAGTAGTCTTTCCCCCTTGTAGATTAACAATTTTGCTACTTCCAACAGCAGAAACACAGACAATATAAAAATTGCCTTTCACCTCAAAGAGAAGCAGCAAAGCTCTTATAGCTTACAGAAGTTTGCTAGCAGCTCAGTGTACTCAAGTTTGTTTCTATCACAAGACCTCTTACAATTACAGTAATTATTTTTTCTTTCTCACATTTTGGTAACAGCTCATAATGTTCTAGGCCATTCTCTAATACCAGCATGCTTTAAAATTGAGACCATTCTCTTCAATTTCATTTCCTTTGCAGCACTTTCAGTTTTAAATAAATTTGCATCTTTTTAGATGTGAGACAAATACATTACAAAAAATTCATTTTTATGTCACCTCTCAATAAAAGCTTTCTTTCAAAAATATTATTTTTGCATACCTTATTCATGAATGCTGCTTTGGCTTTTCTAGTTATGCAAAACTTTGTCAGCAAAAGCTGACAAAGAATTCTCTTCTATCTCAACTTAGTGTATTCCTATAGTTGACATGAAGCATTTTAAACAGAAATACATTCAGTGTGATGATAATACTTCTCTTGGCTCAACAGTAAGAAAAAATTAAGAAAAAAAAAATTAAATGGGAATTTTTCAAACTCGGTGACACCTCTTCACTCAACATTTTAAAATAACTAAATACAGTTAGTTCAGCACCTTTATGTATTTATTTCTGTATTTAAAAGATGTGTAGATGTGTAGTTTTGATTTCAATAATGTAAAGGAAGAATCATTTTCAGTTCTCTAACTCCACTATTACTTTCCCATTTCTTTCCCAGAAAGAAAAGCAACTCTCCTCATTCAACATAGCTGGTAGCTGGGAACAAAGGAAACTAGTCCTGGTTTATTGATTACTTAAAAATATATATTTTAGCAGATTTTAATTCTATAGGTAAAAGTAACTCTCACTGAAATAATTGAACACTTTCTTTTAGTTTATTTTTGTTTGTACAAAATCAAGTTAGCTTAATTTAGTCTGCCCTTTTAAGGAAAATGAAACATACGTGTTGCTTTGTGATAGAAATCAAAGGTTACTTCTTCTTCTGGGGACTTCTGTAACTGCTGTTTCTCTTCTAGTAACCCTAAAGAAAGGAGGTGTAGCACCTAAAAAAAAAGGCAAAAAATTGTAAATATCATTCACTGTTAGAAGTCTGGAAAACTGGTATATAAAACAAGGATGTTAAATATAGCTCTGCACTATATGCTGATTATATCCACGATAAAACACAGAAATGAGAAAAAAAGTGGAGAGATCATACACAGACAGTGTCGTAACAATGCACAATGTAATTTTCCTGAATATTACTTGCACTAAAATTAACAGTCTTGCACACACTTTACATTAGTAACATATGAATCTTGTAATTTTGCTGATACACATCTATTAAACATTTCGTTAAATCCATAATCCAAAGATGAGCATGTAAAGGAAGGGAATTAAATCATCTATGCACTGTAATTAATAAAATTGATTAATTTAACCAGTCCATAAATTCAGGTCCAAATCCTACAAATATCTTTAAAAAAATCAAACCAATACAACAACGTAGGTAATTTATTTTTTTGAAGCATACAAAGCCACTCTGGTAACATACAATGTTTGAATACTTAAAAAATTATATCTTGTCATGACTGAGCCCCAAAGACAGTTACAAATTTATTTTTTTGAAGCATACAAAGCCACTCTGGTAAAATACGTTTGAATACTTAAAAAATTATATCATGTCATGACTGAGCCCCAAAGACAGTTACGTATTTGCAGCTTACATCACGATGTAACTCCATTTTTTTTAAGATGATCAAAGTGTTACTTATTTGCACAAGTTTCCAGAAAGAGATGAGGTAAGGAGAATTGCATATTGAAATAGCTTTGGTGATGAAGTAAGCCCCGTGTGTAAGCATAATAGAAAATTGAAGAATATTCCCAATTTGAAATAATTATGTTTCACATTTATATTTTAAAATGGAGATAAATTATTAGAAATTATTACTTTGTCAGTAAGACTGACCAAAACACATTTGGGGACAAAAAGTGAACTCTTATCATTCAAATTTCATGTTTATCTTTACACATTTTGATCCTATGACAAGCAGCTGACATGGTGAGCACAGGAATGACTACAGGAAGGAGACCAAAGCTATTCATACCATTTGGATCATAGCTTCAGTCCACAAGTGGGTTTCCAGCTCTACTGCTCTTTGAAGAACAGTCCTCAGTATGTGCATCATAACATCACAGTTCAGAATCCTCACCACATTGCTGAATGCAGGACTGAAGTCTGGAGGAGGAGGTGGTGGCAGTGCTAGAAGACAGATATGCAACTACACTCACAAACTGGTATCTCATCAAAGACTGCAGGCAAAAAGTGGAGAGCACAAACATACTAATTCCAAACACAATCGTTTGCCTAATTCAGCTTTTATCTTTAGCAAAACTATCTACATTTAGTAAGTTCTTATATAAAACACATGCAAACTAAGTTAAAAATTAGCCACAGGTATTAACTTAAGACGACTTAAATCAATGCAAATCTTTAATACTTTGCACTGCTTTATGATTTGTACCACTAGTAAACAGTGGGGTTTTTTTGCATCAGATATAAAATTTTAAAGTAGTTAAACAAGAGTGAGCAGTGGAACTTCCAGAGTGTAGTGTCTCACATTAATTAGGGTTCCAAACCTAATATGGCTGGAGCTCTAAATTCTTCCTGTTTCTGGGGCATTCAGATAATTTCTAGTTATGTACATTTTTTGAGCTAATATTCAACCTGTGTGATGTGGTGTCTCACCCAGAAGCCACCTGGAATCTTGGCACCTACTAACAGCAGCTCAGTTAATGCTGCAACCTTTTCCTACTTGGAAACATTGATTTAAGTCTTCTTTTGAATTGCTAAAGTGAATGGGGGGGAGAGGGGTGTGTGTGAATCAGGAAGGTGCTATTGAAAATCAGTCACCTGTATAAAATAAAGAGTGGAGAAAGAAACCACAAGTAATCCAAAGATTTTTTTTTTCTCATTCTTTTCCATGTGTCATAATCTTCAGCTACTTATAACTGAAGGAAATGCATTTTTTCCAAAGATAATGTGATTTCCTAATTAGATGTGTCCCTCTTAAATGACAATGCCAATGCCAATTTATTTGTTTTCAGTTCCACAGTTTTTCAATTTAAAAGAACTCCAGGCATATAAAATTACTCAGAATAAATTCTAACCATGTTAGGTATGAAATGCTGTAGTATCCCTGACTGTGCACAAAAGTCAAAATACACTTTAGAGCACAAAGTAAAGAATGGCAATCTGAAAAGGGAAAAATAACTGTCTGCTGCAATTTACACAAGCAGGTGATAGCTGATTTTATTAAATTGTTTGTTGTACTTATTCATTCACCTTCCTCAAATCAACTCAATTAATGCTCGTTACTTTAATGGTAAAAGTAAACTCAAAAGTGAAATGTTTGTGTCACAACAGAAATTGGGTTTTACTGTTATATATATTTTCAGGTTCTAAACAACTTTTTTTTATTTGTATGATTTAAGTCTCAAACTACCTACAGAATAGGTATGAGCACTATTTCCTGTGGCAACCTTCTCTACATGGCACTATTATCGTTCAATATTGTGCTAGAGCAACTACTCATAAAAAATAAACTTTTGCCTCCTAGATAACCCACCATAAAAACTCTAAGTTGTTAATTTCGTCCATGGACACTCTGCCATGTTTATTTTTCTACATGGAAATTAAACTAAAAATTCCAAAACTCCTATCTTTACATTAAAATATTAAAAAAGTAAAAATAGATAAAATAAATGTCACAGGGCTAATTGATTAGAATTACTACAAATCACAACAAACTTAATATGAACTCAACTATTTATGACTGAGTCACAAGACATCTTCCAAATCTCATTTTGTAGGCACAACTACATATACTACTGAATTATCATATTTGTTGAATGACCAAATTTTTACCTTCATCTCTGTTTTCTTGTTTCCTTCTTTTCTTTTGTGTATGTTCAGCCTACAGAAAAAGTATTGTTATATCAGCATCTCTACAGAAGTACACAATGAAACAATGAGAAAACCTAAACTAGAAATGTGACAAGATACGTAGTCAGTACTCGGTTACATAACTAGAATCTTGTCTGAAATCTATTTAACAATATTGCATTTTGCATTTCAATTTGCAGTAGAGGCAAGAGTCAATATAGGAGACACCAGAGAGAAAATATGAATGCAAACCACACCACAGCAATTTGTATTAACAATCTTACCTTCGTTAGAAGCTCAGTTTTGAAGTCAGCTGCAAATACTGTTCACTCAATCAGTTTTTTTAGATTCCATTAATTCCTTTGATTCAGCAAAATTCTTTAGACACTGATTAGTCCATACTACTTTTCAACCTCTGACAGTGAATCCTACATTGCTTACCTTGCTGTGCTGGGTCTTAGTATAGTGATAAAAGAACATATTGAACTCCTTCAAGCATTCATCTTTCAGCTCATAAACTCCATGGCCAGACACACCTGGTTTCCTTAAAGAGAAACATTTAATAACATACAGATTAATAATGTATGTTTAACACATCTTTGAATGTAAACAAACCAGTAACACAATTTTCTAAAGAAATGCTAGTAAGAAGTGGAGTAGTGATGGCTGCTTCATTAACTTATCAAGAGCAAAGAGTGAATTATCAGTCTTTAATTTTCAAGACTGTTTACTGCTGTAAAACCTACCCAGAAGCAAAGTATCTCTAGTCTAAGCCATCTACAGCACACTATATATCCTCTTATAGGTAAATTCTTTTAAACTTCATTATTTAGAATTTCAGACATTTGATGTTATATAGATTTCATTATTTTAACTAAGGTGCAAAACAAGTAATACAGCTACTTTCCAGCCAGTCAGAGTTTTTTGAAACTTCTATAGTAGAATTCCCAAAGCAAAATTCCTAGGTAGACCTACAGTTGCCCTTGATTAAACATAAACAAGCAAGCCACATGAAATTTAAAATCAATTGTACTAAAATAATTATAAGATTTATTTGTGATAAAAATAGCAGCTGTTTGAACTAGTTTTTCACAACTGCTACAACCGACTGTTCCATACTTGTACATATACATCTATATGTAAAAAATTCACTCTCATCTGAAAGTTACAGCACCTTAGACAGTAAACATCTAAATCAATGATGAGTTAGTGATTTTCAAAGGTACACTGACTTGTTAAGGTTTCCAATACTCTTTCAATTACAATGACCTTTGAATATTTTTCCCACTAGGACCTGAGATTTACTAAACTCCTGAGACTCAAGCTGAATCTGAAGAAAGGGGGCAAAAGGAGAGAAGCAGCAGCTTCAGATACTCCATACATTTTTCCTTCCTCTGCATATTTGAAAGTGTATATATTTCAAGACAGCAAAATATTAGCTGAAAAGAGACTGTGCAGTGCAGCTTGTTTAAGCCATATAATCTAAGAGATTTTATTTCACACTCAAGCTACTTACAAAACAATATTAAGAACTTACTTAAATGTAGCCACTTTATCAATTACATTCTCCAAGCCAGTTTCATTGTTCTCCTGGTAAAAAATTTAGTTTGGGATAAATATATAATGATTCAAGTATCTTCAGTATTATGCTAGGTGTAACAAAAATAGACACACAGATTTAGATCAATTCCCTAACTCGTGAATTAATATATTTCACCCACTCTTATTCAGAAAGCAGATATTCATAACTTACAAGTTACAAGGAAGTACAAGAGATAGATAATACTTTCATTCAATCATATAAAATTTTATTAATGACAGAGCTGATCTCCAGAAACAGCAGTGCCTTAGCCAACACTAATGGAAGAAAAAATAGAGTTTTAGTCTCTTAAGTGGATCACACATTATTGGTTTCTGACAATATTCCAGGCTATTTCATTTAAAATAAAACTGAGGCTTTTTTGCATTGACTGCCCACCCTGAAGACTTGCACAGGCTACAAAACCTAACCCACATCCTTCTCCTTTGCTTGAATTTTCAACAGTTTAAATAGAATGGCAGGCAAATCTGTGATTTCAAATAGACTTGTACAATAATTGGCTTCCAATGGATCTGCACAGGTTTAAGTGATGGAAATTACAGGATAAAATTTACTGATAGTACACAGGGCAGAATGGAACCCAACTGCATGGTCCTAAAAGGACAAAAGAGAAAATAATTTTAAAACTTTTCTTTTTGAGTTTAGAACCACAGCTGACTACCCAAAACAATTCCACCTCTTCATCAAAAAACAAAGCCCACACAAGCCTTTTTAGATTAGACCATACTTGACTCCGTAACATTTACCTTTACATCAGTTAGGTGTGTAAGCTCCTTTGTCATGTTATTTTGTAATTCTGAAATCAACATTAGACCTTTATATAAGAAATCAAATGCTTCCATATAAAGATATGGAAGATAAAGAAGGATATAAAACAAGAAAAAGTGAATTAAGGAAAAAAACCCAAATAAACCAGACTCACGTTTTCAGGCAAGGACTTGGTAATTGCACTGTGAGCCATTGGTTCAATACATAACAGATGAATGATTTCTCTCATGGTAACATCTTCTTTTGTCACATTACTCACTCCAGGCACATATCTTTCCCCTACCAGAGCGAATCAAAAGGAGAAGAATGGCAAATGTGACAGTTATAAAGCAATTTTGAATTTTGCACAGAGGTAAGGCTATTGCTGGGATACTTCATAGTATTTGTTTGCATTGACCAGAAACTTCTTCCAAGTGTCTGAGAGAAAAAACAGGTTTTAGCCTAGCTTCCTAACCAAATAGGCTGAGATGGAGATTCTCTCCATATCCTACTTTAATAGTCAATTATGAAGTTATCTAACAGCTTTTTTCACTGTGCAACTCCCACTGCTTCTGGTTGACAAATATTTGCATTACTGAACCATCTCTTTAAAACAGGCATTCTCCAGGACCCTCCCCACACCATCTATGTTAAAGAAACTCATCAAGCCTGTTTCATCAAACTGTAATAATCCCTCATTAAAACGACAGAAATGCAACTTACCCACAACATAGATGAGAATCTGTAGCATCTCTTCTATTAACACATTATATTGCTTGATCAAATCCTGTAAGAATAAAGGAAACCAGTTTTTAAAAAACAAGCAGGAATATGTGTCAAATGACCCTGAGCTCAGCCTTCAGATCCACTACTTGGCGGAAGCACGACAGTGTAAGAGGAAACTCCAACCTAAAAAGCAGGAAAAAATGCCTGCAGTTGTAGAGGAGACACTATTCTGCAACTGAAGAAAACAAAATAAGAAACAGCTAAAATGTATCCCAAATTAAGGGTTATATGAAAGTTCAAGCCTCAAGAAGCAGCACAACAATTCTAGAAACTTCCAGTCAAAATAAGAATATGTAATACAGCTTAAGAGATGTCAACATTTTACAGAGAAGTCATTTATGTGGATTGTGGTAGATGCCCTATGAAATAAAGGTCAAAGAGGACAAAACCCACTTACTAATTTTGAGTAAGCCTCTACCAATTCCAAACACTAAATCATTTTTCTAATAACTATGCCTTGTGGTGACTGATTTTTAGTGTGGTCATAAAAATGCCGTTTTAAACAGTAGTTAGTTTTCTGTATTAATGCTCCATAAACTCAAAACAAACAAACAAATCAGCAGAAATACTTGCCACTTACCTGATCTTTGGTGGGCTTGATCTTTCTGAATGCATCAGCAAGCTCATATCTCTGTAGTATCAGCAGGAGGAACTGGTTTGGATCCATAAGAGAGGCACCTATCTATCAAAAAACCCAAACTAATATGAACATCAGTTACTATTACAGTTTCTCATTAATTATGAAAAATACTCTTTTACCAATATATTTTTAAAATCATACTAATTAAATTGAAATTAAAAGAAATTCCATAAAAATTTTATTAATCAGGCAAGCAATGACTCAGAACATTATACCTGCAGCATGATTATGTCTTTATCATACATCTCTTCTCTGCATTTAACATCTTGATAATAGAATACCTGAGAAATAGGAAAACAAAATTTAAGTTGAGAAGTTACGTAATGCACTATCAAATGTGCACCAGTTGACATCTGAGGCTTTTTTAAACTGTACAGCTTCTTTCTTTAGTAAGGCAAAGTCCCATGTTTTTTTAACCTATCCAGAGAAAGCCTATGCCCTACTTCTTCATACATAATTCTAACAGCTGCTACTGATTTAAGTCAGATCAACCTCCTTCTCCTAACTCACTTCACAGAGAGAATTTTACAAGGGGCTACCAATATTTACTTATATTTCACCAAAGGATCATGTGATGGATGAAGCTGGAATAAAACCAAGTCAGAAACTTTTCTACTTAGTGTAGGAGTGACCCCATGACCTCTTTCTGCACTGGATGAAACTCCCACTGGGATCATTACTGAGAAACACTTGCAACCACCCTAAGGACCAACTCACTGCTGCATGTTGTAGGGAGTACCTGGCTTATCAGGGAGAGCCCATTCCTTCTCCACATCTCTGCAGCAACCTGAGCAACCAAGACAAGACATCGCAAAGGATACTCCACTAGCAGCTCTACTTGAAATTCTTCCTAGAATTTAAGAAAAAAAGAATAAAACTAAATTGTAAAAAGCAAGCAAGAGTAAGTTTGTCAGTGATTTTCACAGTGTAATGAACAAAGACACACTGACAGCTGCAAAATAACTTGTGCGTGTGTCACGAAAGTCCCAGGATATAACTTTAGGTTTTGAGTATAAAACAAAAGCAGCATTTGGAAAAAAAAATGAAAAATCTTACAGGAGAAACAAACTCATTCAATCTTGAGATGGCTCCAGTCTTGCTTAATCGTACATGAAGACCTACAAAACCAATAGGAAAAAATAAGAAAATAAATCAAGATCAGTAAATTTTCTTCTCCAGCACATTCTAAATGTTAGATAAACCATCTACGAATGGAATTACAGAAAGAAGTTTATTTAGGAAAGATTTATTCCTTCCTTTTTTCCAAAAGATAGATCTATTACATTGTCACAACAATTCTTACCAGTCTTACAATCCATTATTTTATTAATAAATCTATTAATTTAATGAAGTCAGTAAAACAATTTACATGGAGATGATAAATAGCACTGGCAAAATTTTAAGTTCACATTTGATTCATCTATCAGTAATAACTGAATTTCATGACTACACGGCTTAACAGATGGTATCTTGGTATCAAACTCAAGAATCTACAGCTAAATCATAGGATATGATTTAGGTAATAATCTAGAGAAAGTGGCAATCACCCACTGCTGGGATCCTTTGCATTCTGACTGGAAATCTATCCTGGCATGCTCCAAACATACGTCTTTTAGGAGGAGCATTACAACAGTCCTAAGATATATGTTACTGGACAATAAATTAAAGATACAGTAATAATGAACATTCGTTTAGACAAAACAGGTAGAAATAGATACAGGACCACATATATTGTCCAGGAAAAAAAAAACAAAGGTCTCATTAAAACATTAAATTTTTCTTCTCGCCTAAGTTTCTTATCCTCTCTCCTGTTGAAAAAGTCCTTCAATCTCCATGGCATATGTTTTTTTGAGGAAAACATTTCCTCTGTGGGACATCAGGGGAACAGGGTTGCCTGATCAATAGAATGTCAGAAAGTCAGGGAGCAACTGATCTGCAAAGCATTTCATATAAATGCTTTCTAAAGTAAAGAAAGAGATAGATTATAAAAATAATTTAAAGAGCAATCAAAACAAAACACACCACCTACCAGCAAGAGTCCTAGACAGAGGCAAATGTATGCTGACAGGATCTGCAGACACTCTGTAGGGTCTGCTCTCCAGAGTGTGGCCACACAAGTGAAACACTGTCTTCTCCCGTGAGCGGCCATTGGTGCTGCATCTCATCACAGCTTTATGACATTCACTATAGGCCTTGAGCAACAGCTCTTCCTAGAATTTAAAATAAATGCTTAGCTTTCTATTTTAAAATTGTATCTTTGCACTAAAATTCCTCACTTGTTTTTTCTGATGGTAAAAAGAGTTACTAAAAATACACAATATTACCATTCTTTTTCTCAATACTGAGAATCACAGAATAGTAGGGGTTGGAAGGGACTTCTGGAGATCGAGTCCAACCCCCCTGCCAGAGCAGGATCACCTAGAGCAGGTCACACAGAAACACATCCAGACAGGTCTTTAAAGTCTCCAGAGAAGGAGACTCCAGAACCCCCCTGGGCAGCCTGTTCCAGGGCTCAAGTACTGGAAGAAGTACTGGTCTGGAGCAATGGAGCATCTACTAAAGCTAACTGAGAACATGCTTCTGTTCAAAAAAGCTGCTCTAGCAAATGCTCTAAAATCTATGTGCTTATTTAAGCTGGAATATTTCAATATTTTGCACAGTTTGCACCCCAAACTGAATCAAGAAGCTCCTGCACTGCTGCAGCTGTTCCTTTCTCTCCCTACTGAAAAAAAACAAACACAAACAAACAGAACAGAACCCCACTTCAAAATACCTTTAAAAAACTGTACAATTTCCTTGCTTCTCCCAGCACAGGGATGAACTTCAGCACTTAAGACTGCTTAGAGTGTAATTACCCAATTAGCACAAAAAGTTTCTGCAGTCCACTTTTGCAATTAAGCCACATGCTTCAAAACCTTAAAACAGTGATACCATGAAACTAATTCTCAAAATCTTGAATTATGAGAAGTATTTTCTCTTTATCATTTGCCTGACACCCTGTGCAGCTTTGTCAGCTAGAAGATTCTGTCTTTCTGAGATCTCTTTTCTCTTTGTCACATCACAGACTAATTCTTCCAATTTTTGTGGAAATGTGTATTGAACAAGAGTGAACTTTTTTTAAAAGCTGCTATTTAAAAGGCACTCAAAAATATTCACAAAAGGCATGCTTGTAAGAATCCCAGACTATTTATATACTTACATCACAGGCACACCACTCCTGGAACATCAAAAGAATGTTTTTGAGCTGCATCTGTATAGCAATAGCTGCTTCCCAGTCAGGGTCTACCTCAATGTGCTGGCCAATCTGTCTTTTTATCTCCTCCATTCCCTGAAATGGAGATGCCACAAAATACTAAAGGCTAAATCAATGATCACAGGCTCAAAACAGCACACAATCCCATAAGCAAATGGTAAAATATAAGTTGTTCAGATACACATAGCTAAAATTGGCAAAGGTTACTTCTATAAAGTCAACATTACTTTTTCACCCACCCAAGACATGGATTGAAGAATGTACCACCTTAATTGCATGTTTATATCCACAAAATTCCTATGGACAAAAAGATGATTAAACGGAAGTGCTGTAATTTCTTTATAGCAGCATATTAGAAAGAAATTATTTAAATGTGTTGTACCTGCATGCAAGTTAGAATCCTTAGGAAAGAAACAAATCCTTCTAAAAACCGCTCCCTCAGACGGTCTGTCCATAACGTAGGCTTGCTGACTAAGACATACCTGTCCCCAAAGAAAACATTACAATCTTTTGCTCAGACTTCTCTTCTGCTTATTCTTGTATTTAAAGTGTTCTTTGTATTAAAATAATCAACTGCATCATGACATTACATTCCCCTCCCACTTCAAACTCTTTTTAAAATTTTAAAAACCGCTCCCTCAGACGGTCTGTCCATAACGTAGGCTTGCTGACTAAGACATACCTGTCCCCAAAGAAAACATTACAATCTTTTGCTCAGACTTCTCTTCTGCTTATTCTTGTATTTAAAGTGTTCTTTGTATTAAAATAATCAACTGCATCATGACATTACATTCCCCTCCCACTTCAAACTCTTTTTAAAATTTTAACCAAACACTTGAGTCACTTGGTGCAACTCCATCATTTGAAATGAGCGGTTTTTGGATACTGAGGTATTTGGGGTAGTTTCTTCTACATTCTCTTCTGCTTATTCTTGTATTTAAAGTGTTCTTTGTATTAAAATAATCAACTGCATCATGACATTACATTCCCCTCCCACTTCAAACTCTTTTTAAAATTTTAACCAAACACTTGAGTCACTTGGTGCAACTCCCATCATTTGAAATGAGCGGTTTTTGGATACTGAGGTATTTGGGGTAGTTTGCTTCTACATTATTCAGTTTATTAGAGTAATTTGGGAGCTGCAAGAGTGGAAACTGCTATGCAGATGAGGATTATACAGCTTTTCCATGATGGTAATGATTAGAAGCCACATTTCCCACACTGCCTTATAGTAGATAAATTTAATTTATTAAAACAATTGCCACATGGAATTATATAATTGGAAGTAATTTTAAAATGTCTGTATAGTATATAATTTTGATAGTTGAAAATTTTAAGTTTTCACTGAAAAATAAAACATTAAAGTTCAACACATTTTTTGAGAAGTTTGGGGTTGGGTTTTTTTTTAAAGGAGTTTTATAATTAGATTCCTGAATTGAAACATCTCATCCTACTGCTGATTTTCTAAGAATTGCTCTTGCTTCTCAGCTTTACACTTACCTGAGGTCAAATATTACTGCATATACCCGGTTCAGTTTGTCTTGACTGTAACCTTGGAAGTTGAATTTGTCATTTTTGTCTAGGTACTCCGGAAGCACTTCTAGAAGCGTCTCTGTAATGGTGGTGATAACATTTTGCTCTTCAATAAGATGTCGGGCCTGCAAGAATAAGATTAAAACATTTTCTTCCTCTCTCCTTTTGCTGAAGAAAACTGTCAAGATAATTTTTCCTTTGACTCCAGTAATTTTGAAATGATTTAAAGCATTTGTAAAGTGTCCAAGGCACAAAAGCTCCTTTATGAACACAATTTCTGTTGACTTATCCTGTTTGTTCACTCTGACAGCTTCAAAGTAACGGACATGTGATTTCTTCTAGAAAGATCATGCAGAAGGATTTTTACATTAGTATTTCAGGCAAGAAACATATAGCCTTTAAAACCTACACGTATTTCCTCCCAAAGTATTTAACTTATTTCACTCACACGAAAAAAACTTTAACCATTTTTTGCCCTCTTAAGAAGGTAAGTGTGCACAGTAAATGAACACTAAGTTAATGCAGAGAGCAATGCTGCACAAAAATTCTACTTATTTGCACTCCCTCTGTCTTTGGTAATGAATTTTCACATAAACTCAAGCACTTGCCTTAACAATATTGGCCTTAACAAACCTCAAAATCATTCCTTTTCCACTCAGCAATGCTTAACAACTCTCTGACAAGTGGTATGGCTAGCAATTCTCAAATTCACTTTACATTTCTAGTGGAGACAGGCTGTACATACCAGAGTAGGTACAGTGAACATCTGAACCGAGAGCGCTGTCACAGAGAGAACTCTGTCATGATCATCATTGATATATTCTTTTTGCAATGTCTTGTAATACTAGGAAAAGAGAGTATTGGGGAAATAAATAAAACAAGTGTTAATTTAAATGTTTATTTTTTTATTTAGAAGAATTACATCTCAATGTCCTCTCTAACAGAAGTAGTTCAAACAACAAAACTGGCACAATGCTCTCAATGCACCAAAGCCATTAAATATGTGCCTCACTGCCTTATTATTGAAGATAAGCACAAATTTAACTGTGCTGCTAAATGGTAATACAAATCTTTTTTCACCTAAAAATCAATCTTTCCCACAAAAAGAAATTACATATCTCAAGAAAGTATCAATAGAGACATTAACTTATTTTATAATAAGTCTTCCTCCTGCAGTGAACTGAGTGGAGTTATTCAACAGCTGTCTATAAAGAATGTGTACAATAAGTAATGTAAGTTTTTATTTGCTTTGATTCAGTTCAGAGAAAACCATTAAATGTCAGTCACCTTCATCTAGATTAAAAAGCGTCATCCTAAAAAAAGTTATTTGAAAATTATTTATATTTAAACAATTTTTCAGGTTTGGGGAAAATTGTATGAAGTTTAATTCACAGCATAAAAACAAATAATACTTTACCTTTACAAATTCCACAGCGAAGAGTTTTTTGTATTCCATTTCCATGAAAAAACTACTGAAGATAAGTTCATGAAGAACCTTCCTTGCCCCTGTGAAGAGCCAATACAATGCACATCAATTTACAGTACCAAGATACAGCTTCTTGTGGAAAAGAGGAACAGATTATTCTATTATAATTGTGTATGATTAAAAGCCTTGAAATTGTTACAAGTATATGAACTATTGGGTCTTTTTTATTTTTAATATTTATTGGTGTGTATTTAAAAGACAGAGTAAGCATTAAATCACTCATACTCAGGCTGTATCTTGTGAAAAGATCCTTCAAAACACAGAAAGCAAGAAAAATCCATTAGACAATACATATCCAAAAAATTATATGTAAAAATAAAAGCTGTAAAATAAAGGCTGTATAAAAAATGTAATTTAGAAACTATACAGAAATGTAATTCCACCTGCAGAGCATGCACTTACTTCTACACACTTGTTTTACACATGAAAAATGAATTTGCTTATCCACTGTATAGCAGCATGGGCACACTGTCCTGGTGAGCTCACACACAAACCTTTATGAAGTTTTGCATCCCATAGCATCAACTTGCTTATGAAGCAGGGCTTTCCAGATCCAGCTTCTTCTTTGAGACATATCTGACAGAAGATCTGGCGAAAGTCACCTATAGGGACAAAATTATTCATTTGTTCAAGAATGCTTTGATAATTACATGATATGAGCCAACAAATGAGAATTACAAAATTCTGTTCTTAAAGACACTTCAGCATGAATTATTTTTAACAATGCTTTTCCCCTCAGTGAACATACTCCCATATACTCTTCCCTTATTAATTTCTATTATTCTTACCTACTTTATTAATAAATCCAGTGATGCAGAAGAGCATTTAAAATGAAAATAATTTAGACAGCTTTGCAAAGCAGATCTGTAAGAAGAGTTCACTATGTTAGCACAGAAATGCACAGGCCAGGCAAGCCAGCTTATGGCCTTCCAAGTCAGTCTTTTGTAAAATTTTAGAACATTGTTTTATATTTTCTTGCATGTATCAGTATATACAGTACCTGCTGAAGCAGTTTTGGGCATCAACATATCAGAGTCAATCATGGGTTACTAAGATTCAGAAACAAGCTCTTACATCACTAATTTCAAAAGAAAAAGTGGAGTACCATGAATTAAATTCCCGATAACCTGGAAATAAATACTAGTGAATGCTTCCTGGGCTGTGTTCTACCACTTGAAGCAAAACCAGGAAAAGAACAGGAACCACCAGAACGTTTCAGCAGAGTAGAGAACATCAGGCTCTTAAAGCATCTACGTATATAATTCAGAAGAAGAACCCTGTGCTTGAAGACTCTCTTAAAACACATTAAAGTACCAGCTAACCTTTAACAATTTCCTAACCCAAAATGCTACATCCAACCTGGGATACTCCTTTTCAGTTTTTGCTTATATCATCAGCTAAATGTAAAAAAGGCAAAACTGAAAATTACAGGAAGAAAAATGATCTAGGAAGAAAAATGTGGATATACTTTTCCAAGAAACCTTGAAACCACACAGTACAAAATTGTACTGATTAAAAGAACTGTCTGAGGAACTCAGACTATCAGTGAAACAGAGAACAGAGAGCTAAAATTTGTGAGGAACAGAAAAGTACTGCCATTCATAACCATACTGATGGATAACAGCACATAATACTGTATTATCTATTTACTAATAGGGAGGAACGTGGAAGTATTTTAATAAGAAAATACCACATACAACACTGCTGAAGATATTATTTGAGAAAATCAGGCATTCAAATACAGACATGTCATAATGGTAACAAAAATTTGTTTTGCTTACTTGAATAGCTCATGAGTTTGTTCAGCCAAGAACCCAGGCGCAAGGCAAACTTTTGGTGAGCCATAACATCAGCATGGAGAACCTCCACGTGAAGTGGTCGCTGAGAAACATTTTCAGAATGCCTCTAGAAGCCAGGTAAGTATTAGTACACATAAAATAAGAGAGCATGAGCTTTCATGTCTTTACCACCCATTACCTCTCCCAAGGAAAAAATCAAGCAATCAATCAGTGTGATGTTTACTACGGAAGATACCTATCTATCTGTAACAAATGTGGTGGGGTAAATTCAGTTTCAAAAAGTTCACAGGCAGTTTATAAAAGCATGGAAGTACAAAGTTAAAGACTGTACAGCAGACAAATAAGTCTTCAGTATTAATAATTATGAAGTTGATTTTTTTTTAAAATGAGAATAGTATTTTAGGAAGTTACCTTAATTTCTTCTTTTGCTTCCTGACAAGAGACATAATGTCCTGCCTTAACAGCTCTACGACCCTGTTCAAATAAAATATCGAGCATAAGACCAAAACAAAAATGTCACAAGACTGATCCTTGCAATGTTTTCATACGTAAAAAAACCACAGGGACCACTATTACTCGTGGTGCTTTTAGATATCTAGAAGAAAATAAAAAACACCATAACTCTCTTTTGAAAAAAAGCTATTGTAATTAAATTAAAAATAGAACAACACCACAAAGTCTGGGTATCTTAATATTATCAGATAAGGAAAATTCCCATACACATTAAAACACAGAGGGATTAAGTATACTCATCCTGAATTGCTTTTCTACAGTCTTTCCTACCATTTCTTACTTCTGTATATGAAACAGTGTGGGTCTGATGGCTCTTTCAGTAAAGCCAAGAACTGTGTCAGCTTAGACCTCATATTCCACTGAAAGGAAATCAGAAGCATGGGCTTCCAAAACAAGGTCTCCATACAGAAGAACTTCACACAAGAAGAGGGAAAGTAGTTGTTTGTTGTGGAAATGTTTTAATTAAAACAGTTTTACCTAGTCCTGCGTTATAGGAGGTGCTCTGTAAAACAGAGTCTGATCAACTTTTGATCTAAAACTTAGGTTTCAAAAATAGGAACCTTCATAATGGAAACCTTCAAAAGTTACTCTATGTTGGGTGCAATGAAGATAATTTAAACACTGATCATGCTGCTTGTTTCTTTTTCCCTGTGGAAAAAAAAAAATTACATTTCTAGTGTGAGGTTTTTACATATGACATTAGTTTGAAAAATGAAGTAGTGAAATTGTCAGGTTTGCTCTCTTTCTTTCATGAATTCCTTCTGGCTTCATTTGCTTTATTAGAAGTTTATAAATTTGCAAATGAAGTCTGAGCCAGACTAACTTGCAAAATGTTAGAAAAATTTCCGGTCAAATATAACTGAATACGCATATTGCTGACTTGCATATTTTTCCGACAATAACCATTAAAAAAACCCCAGTAACCTCACCTGAGAAGAAAAAAAAAAAGGTAAGCAAAATATGCCAAACAGGGAAGGAGTAACTTCAGATAAATCAGTTCTTCCTTTCTCCAAAAAAAACGAGTTGTGTCCTGAAGAAAAATTAAGGAGATATAAAATTTCCTTGAAGCAAGTGCCAATTAACAGGTACACTACAACACGCCTTTCTCTCTCCTCGAGCTCCAGCATCCCAGAAACAGAGATCCTATTATCAAATAGACTATAGTAGCACCTCTTAATGATAAAAAAACCCCAACTTTCTCCATACCCAGAATGCACTAACCTCTTTATCTATGGCAGTGGTATGCAACTGGGCTTCACCGAGTTCGCAGCCAAGTGCCCTTTGCAGGCTATAGATGACATGATCGTAAGAATGATGTTCATCATTGAAAAGGACACAGTAGTAGCTATCCACCTTCTCTCTACTGCAAACAAAAAGCAAACATATCATCATACAAATAAAAATAAAATTGTAAATAGTGTCCTACCCAATACAAGCAACAGCTCACTTGACAGCTTGGAAGATTTTGTATTTGTCAAATATGAAATAAAATTATAGAAAGAAATTAAGCATGTTCTTTATATCAAAGATATTCCAAAATTCCCTCATCATCTATAGCAGAGAAAGCCACAGAAGGCAAGTACAAAAGAGATTTTAAGTTATTTCATTATCCCCCTATTATTTCCTCTCTCTGTTGCTTTATGATCCCATCTGTCTTTTTAACATGATGCACAACAGTCTTTTTCCATTTTGATTAAACACAAGTCACACACGACTTTTACTATGCAGTATCAAAAGCTTGCCCCTATATAAACTGTTGGTCAAAAATGCTACAGTGCCGTTTAGAGGGATTTTGGGACTACTATATTTGCATGAGAGTAAGAATACAACAGGCAAAATTATTATCCACATTTCTAATGCTTTGAAGAGAAAGTTGGAAATACTCCCTACCTAACTGTGAGCTCTGGAGGCAGTTCCTTCTCTTCTTCCCATATAAGCATATCTACAATGTATTTTATCACAGAAGGAAACACCCTCCTAGAATGCTCCATAATTTCTTCGTTCAACTGACATTCAGAATTCTGCAAAATATGAGATAACATTAATATGGAAACTTTTTAAATCAACAAAGGGTTGGTAAAATACCTTACAATTTGTTTCAGGGAATCAGCCTTTTCATTATTTTCAAGCAAATTATTTGCACCTAATGTCTTCACTTCAAAATTATTTCATCCCAAGGGCTCTCAGTAGTATTCCAGCAGTTTCATGTACTTTTTTTTTTACACATCTAGGCTTTATCTAGGAATAGACTATGAAAGACCTCACCAAATGTATTAAGAAACTTCAATTAGTTTTATTAACCTAAGTTTAAAAAGTTGGTTATCAGATTCCTCTACACCTAAAGATATTATTACAAGTTTGCGACCCAAACCTTCCCTACATTGCTTGCTCTGCTGTGCAGGTTTTCTCTCAAATATTTACGACACTTCTTTAACAGAATAATCCAAGGAAACCTAACTGTTTTGTTTTTTCAAAGAACCTATCCCAGATTTACAAATAATTCAAAATAGCCCTGTGAACTGACATTTCGCATCCACCCAAATGAAGCTCATCAAGTGAAGTGTCTACATCACATAACATTGTTAATACTTTCTGTAAGCATTTAAGCAGGAGAGAAATTAAAGCTATAAGCAAACAAAATCATTACCAAGTCTGCACTTAAGAACTAAGCAATGAACATTCAGGTATAAGACAAATACATTTGCAAGGACACTGTGTGAAAAGAGCGCTTTAATCCAAAGATGCTGATGACCTTTCCCACATACTACCTTTCAGCATATACATTTATAAATGCTATATAATCTTATTAATGTTAATGCAAGCCAATCCAGTAATGTTATATACAACATGACACAGAAAACAGAAGCTGGTATTTTCTAGAGGATTTACACATAGTTTCCTATAATTTTAGGATCACCAAAACTACCTACACAATTTGAATATGTGTTTCCCAGAATGAGAAGAGATGAGAAACAAAACATTCTTTCCAAGAATAAAGCTTTTAATCCCAAAGAACTAAGGGCATTCACTTCTGCAATACATAATCTGACAGATGTTAAGCATAAAAGAACAGAAAGAGTCATGTGTTTAACATAGCCAAGAAGAATGGTTATGAAAAAATCTTAAATCAACTATACAGTCACGGTTACTCATTTATGAAACCGTTGGCTTTAAAAAAACCCAAACAAAAAACAAGCAACCTTATATTGTGTCCATATGACAGAAAAGCTAAAAATGTAGTGGAAATAAAAATGTGTTAATATGATCAATTGCTTCCAGATCTCTGAACAGTTTTTTGACCTGACAAGCATCAATGTGTGTACACACTTAATTTTGGATAAGCTCATTGTAGATCTTGGTAATTAAGAATGTAAATGTCTGGGGTTATTATTTTTTCCCCACACTGCCAAAGCTACCATCACCATCATTTGGAGCAGATTAAAAAAAACTCTACTGCAAAGAATAAACTTACTGAACTCAGTTGTAAATATTCTAAACTTCTTTTCCAGTATTTCGAAAGAGTTTGGCTTTTTAAACATTAATGTATGTTACAAAAAAAAGGACAGAACTAGAGGAAAACACAAAGCTATGCACAGAGATACTCCAAGCAAGAACCTTGTAGCAAGACGCTGCTCTTTCTCAGTTTGTAGAAGAAATAAAAAGAAACTACATCAAAAGATTTAGAAACTATTAAAAGTGGGAATTGCACTCACACAAATAGAAAAAGTTAAATGATGCAATGCCACCTACAATGCTATCCACTTTAATAGAAGCCACATTAAAATCAAATTAAGATACAACTAATGTGAATTGAAAGGGTAAAAATAAAATTTCCTCAGAACTATGTCCAAAAATGTATAATTATTTAAGCTTCAGGCAAAGAAACAAACTGCGGCACAATGAACAGTGTGTTTAGATATCAAAGTATAAAAATAACCAACAACCAAAATATTTTTTTTAATATGCCTGGGAAGTATTTTTACTTCATCTCAGAAACAAATTTTAAAATTATCTGGTTTTAGGGATACACTCAGAAAAAGCGTTTTTGTATTTCTAACATAGTGAAGACATTAAGTTGAAATCAATAGGGAATGGTTAACTCCTAAAAGCCTAGAGTGGGGATTCTAAAATGAAGAATTGCTTTTCTGAGGCTTATACTGCATACATCCCAACAAGTTTTGTAAATATCTTCTCACAGTAAAAATTTAAAAAAAAAAAAAAAAACAACAACAAAACAAAGCAGGGATTTTTGTAAGGATACTGTATTTTACCAATCTCCTTATCTCAGAAGTGCTAAAAACTCTGATGCTTGTCATCTGGCAGATTGAAACCTGTCTTCTACTACAGGGTCATTTTTAAAAGGAGGTCATTCTGTGTCTAAACTTAATCTACCTTTTAAAAATAGCAGCCCAAGCACATTTTTACCACATTCTGCATAGCAGACAAACATACTGCAAAAATATCCCTCTTCTTATTTGTTCCTACCCGATCAGAGTAAGTTTATAAACACCCTAGCATGATATAGCCTCTGCACTAAAAAGTAATGGAATGCTGGTCAGGATCATCCAGTAAAGAGTGCTTTTTGTTTGACAAGCATGTGATAAACTTCTGTACTATCAGAAAACATGCTGGAAAAGAAATTGGCAAGAGATCTGTTCCACACATGCTTTGCAACTCTTTAAATAAGCACTATATGCTGAGAAAATTCCTATGTTATGAATGTCCTTGATTCTCAAAACAGACTACAAACTATGAGGTTATCCAAACATCCACAAGCCTCTTCCTCATACAAAGCCTTTGACAAACAGGTCTTACTGAAAAAGGAACATGGTCATGCAACGTAATCTACCAAATAGTTCCATATAGTATATATTAATATACTGAGGTACTTCGTTGTAGTGATTGTACTTCTGCCCTTTCACTAGAGTCTACCAACTCTGACTGCATAATAACTACATGTAAATACAAGTATTATATCTAAACATTTACTAACCACTGGGAAAACAATTTGTAAATAAGAACTGAGCAATACATAAACAAAAGAAAAGATACTGCAATTTTAATTCCAAACGACAGACAGAAATGCACAAAACAGGCACATGGAACTGCTCTATTGGTTTTGCCTTTTTTTTTTCTGGAGAAAAAAAATGTCCAATATTGACCCCAACAAATACCTTGAACAAAGAAAACCTGATTTAAGACAATTGGTCCTGCTCGTAGAATTCTACAATGTATGTACTTCCATATAAAGAAATAAGGACTTTTTATAACAAGGCAATATTATAATATATATTCTTTCCCTTTAAGCAATATTCTTACTTCTTTTGCAGAACCTGATGCTCCAGGCTCATGTCTAGTACACAACGGTCCAGCCTTCCATGCCTCTGTATCCCCACAGTCACAAAACCCGCCTCCAGTGGAGCTATGCATCTGAAAAAAACACGTACTTTAGACACAAAATATGCACACACAAAGCAAAATAGAAATACGTATTCCTTAAGTCAAAAACAAGGAGAAATGCCTACTTGGAAAATACAGGAGTCACTGCATAACCAACATACTTAAAACAAATATTTTCTTTTTTTAGATAAAGAGAGACTTATCAGAGGTGGTGGGGGGGAATGCAAATATTTCGAGCAGAATATGAAGGATGAAATACAGTTGTTGCTGCAATAAAGTATGCAAGTCTTGAACAAAATTAACCAGAAAACAGATGGAAAAGCCTTTAACTGATGAAGAACCACTTAATAAATGGCAAAATACTAATTTCTGGTTTTATTAGCAAAATTACAGCAAAGGTGCTTAATGCCTTCTTTACAAATTACTTGGTAAAGTTTGAAAATAATCTAAAGAAGAGTATGTGTATATTAAGCAGACATCTAGTAGTCCCTCAACTTCTAACCAAAGAAAATAAGATACAATCAGCATCTAAATACATTCTTGCAATTTTAACTTTGCATTGCACTTTCATAAAAGTACAAATTCTGATGCTTCATTTTTGGGAAAAAGTTAATAAAAAACTCAGGCAAAAATAATTATCCTTAGCACTGAATGCCCCAATAAAGGCATTGATAAATTTATTATTTACTTAAAATGTTTTAAAATAACCTGATCTAATTACAAATGTTTTCAGTAGGAGGTTGGACTAGGTGACCTCCTTAGGACCCTTCCAACCTAAATCACTCTGAGTCTAGTAAAACCATAATCTGTATTCTTTAGATTGTATCTTCTAAATGGAAATGCAGCAAATCTGCTCCCATCTGACTACCTACTTCCATGTCTTGCCTGAAGAAGTTCCTAAAAAACAGAAAGGACAACAGTTTCTCAACCCAGCGGAGATTTCAAATTGTTTTGTAAACGTTACTGTCTGTTTTCCCTTGTTTTCCTCTTCTCTGTAAATGGTGTGTGTGCATGCATATTGAAGTTTTCTCTTTATTATTCCAGTAGTTTTGTATGTGTTTGAATCAATACTTACAATTCTTTTTCAGTATACAAACTTAAGCAGTGGGGAAGAATACTGTATTTTGGTCCCATTAATTCACTAGGACCACCTTCCAAACTGTCTCTCATTGAAACATCCTTACTCAAGGGGAATGTTACATCCAGTTGATAATACAAGTTATAAATTTCCTCAGTGGATGTCATGTCAATTAATAAAACGAATAGCTGCAAAATAAAAAATCTAGCCTACTTTTTGGTTGTGAAAGATAATTGAATATATAATGTTTCTGTGTATTTTCTTGCCTCTTGCAGCAGAGTTAGACTACCTTTAAAAATTATACTTAGTATATTGTTTTCCATTTCTGCTTCCAAGGCTGTTGAAATTACTGGGGTCTCAGTGAAGAAAGCAAACAAAAAAGGGGGCCTGTGAAGGAAATGATTTAGGCAGCTAGTTAGCTCAGAATTATTCAAAAGATCGCTCTTTAATAATTAAAGCATGGGAATCTCTCAAAGATAACATGGATTTGGCCTAAAGAGAACCAGAAAGATTCTGAAGGAGATGATTCAGTTCTAAATCTCCTTGTGCTTGTTTCAGCTGGGATAGTTAATTATCTTCATAGCAGCTAGTATGGGGCTCTGTTTTATTTATGCTGAAAACAGTGTTGATAATGCAGAGTTGTTTTTGTTATTGCTGAGCAGTGCTCAGTGTCAAGGCCTTTTCTACTTCACACCACCCACCAGCAAACAGAAGCTGGGAGAGGACACAGCTGGGCCACCTAACCCCAGATGACCAAAGACATCTTCCAGACCATATGATGTCATACTAAGCACGTAAAGCAGGGGGAGGAAGGAAGGAATGCTGAGAGTGATGGTATTTGTCTTCCCAAGTAACTGTTCTGTGTGATGGAGCCCTGCCTTCCTGAAGATGGATGAACAGTGTGGCCTGCTGATGGGAAGCACTGAATGAATTCCTTGTTTGGCTTTTTTTCAGAGCATGGCTTCTGCTTTACCTATTAAACTGCCTTCATCTCAACCCACGTTTTCTCACTTTTACCCCTCCAGTTCTCTAACCCATCCCAAAAGTGGGGAGCGAGCAAGCAGCTGCTTGGTGCTTTGTTGCCAGCTAGCGTTAAACCAGGACAGTCCTTTTTAGCACCAAACGTGGGGCTTAAAGGGTTTGAGATAACAGATTTTATCAGAAAATGCTAGGCTGAATTTATAGCTGTTCTTGCTATTTAGCTATTAATTGGTAGGCTAGTCTGCTTGCCATGGTGCTTGCTTGCCTTACATTACAATAGTCTTTTGCTCATTAGCAGCTGCTTTTTGCTTCCTCTGCTTGCTGTACTGCTTATCATCTTACTCTGCTGTGCCTGGAAACGTTGATAACAGCAACAGTGATGCGCTGGGGCTGACAGATGGCCAGGGCATGGCTGCAGTTTCTGTGCTGCTGTAATGGACAGGCTGGAACTCCAGTCTGAACTTGAGTTGGAGGGACTACGACCTGTGAATGAGTCCACACAGTAGCAGGACACCACAGAGCATCTGTGACCCTGGTTATGACAGTGCCACAGCAGGTATACCTCTGAAGGGATCATGGCCCAAGGATAAATCCACACGGGAAAACATACACCTTGAAACATCTGTGGCTATGGAGAAGTCCATGTTGCAGCAGGTACACCCTGAAGAATCAGTGGCCATGCATGAAGTCATGCTGGAGCACCTCAAAGCATGGAGCCATGGGCAAGCCCTTGACAGAACACGTACACCCACAGAGGAACTGCAGCTATGGGTAAGGCCATACTGGAGCAGCTTCATTTCTGGAGGGACCCTGGCTGTGGCAACATGACTCTGGAGGTCTATCACAGAAGGCTTTGTGGCTGATGGAGAAGGCCACGCTGGAACAGGAGCACCTGAAAGCAACTGTGGCTGTGGACAAGTATAGTCCACAACAGGTATACCCCTGAAGAGACTGTGGCTCACAGAAAAGGCTTCACTTGGAGCAGATACATCTCTAAGGGACTGCAGACTGGGAAAGTCCAAGCAAGAGCAGGGGAAAGGGGCAGAGACCGTAACAGAGATACCTTTAAACTGCTGTAACCCTGCATTTGAATTGCATATCCACAATTTTAAAAACTGATGCTTAACATTTGTTAACATAAGTGCTGAGGTAATAGCCCTTGTATAGGCACAGTACTAACAGGGACTCAGGACAGAACCATAATTTTCAGTCAGTTTTTTGCTCTCACATGCACTTCTGTGATATTGCCAAAGGCAGTAACGTGTGCATTCATGAACAAATCCATGAAATATAAATTTTCTGTTCTTTAAGGAGACTTTATGTAGTTAGAAACATGAGAGAGATAGTTAAATAATTAGTAAATCCCAGATTTTATTTTTTTAAATAAGAATTACTAATAGTTTATATGCAGTTTATTATAGCCCTTAAAAATATCTTCTCAAAATCTGCAAGTACAATTTCTTAATATAAGAAGTTTCTACCTTGTACCGATGGTTCTTGTGAATGCTATTCTGGAAGCAGTCCATACAGAGTACACAGGTTGGATCAACTGCACAGTCTCTGAAACAAAAATGGTAACTGGAAAATTTTCTAAAACTAACGCATGTAATTTTCAAGCACAAAAGAAAATACAGCTCAAAAAAAAAAAGATTAACAACAGATTCAAATTATTAAAAAAAAATACACCAAACCAGCTACTCCACATCACAGAAAGCAGATGAAAGCCACTCTTGCTAGGTTGTGTGTAACTTACTAAACAAAGTTTCAATCTTGAGATAATTCCTTTATTAAATGAGCCAAAGAATGCATACTTTAAAATTTAATTTCAATGGTTTCAGTCATGCACTTCTGAAAACCCAGAATTACACTCATGGGAAATCTAATTAAACTTTTTTCTCTGTCCCACATACATATGCTTTTTTGTATAGCCTCTTTTCTCTAGAACATGGACAATATTTTTTTCTTTAAATGCTGTCTCATTCTACACAAAATGTGGATGACAGTCATTCAATGAAAACATGTCAAGGTTTTTGTTTTATGCTACTGTTCAACACCTAGTTCAAGTGTCCTTTACAATACAACTAAAAAGGTAGATTACAGAGCGAATTTTATTGTAAACCTTCAGGTGACAACCCTCACTACAACAACTTAATACTTCATTAACATTCATTTATGACCATAAATTTAAAATCCAGAAGTGCCTGCTAGATCTGAATGCGCATTTCAAGACATTTAGATTTTAATACCTATTATTTATCAGTATATATAATCTATTTAGTACCTATTGTTTTTTTAGCATTTTATAAGCCTAAAGCACATGTATATTTAGCTTCAGTTGAAGCAGTAAGTACAGTATTTTGTATGAATGCTACCTTTTTACACGACAGGAATTCAGAACGAGACCACTTCTCAGAAATACAGCTTTGCCTTTTTGCCTGCTATCATAAGAGAACTCCTCAGAGGTAGGAACAAAATTATTCCCATTACAGCAGTCCTAATCTGCCTTGACCATCCTTCTCCTTCATACAATCCAGTGTCACATTCACTATACACTTCCCAGCAAACATGTAAGAGCTTCTTCAAAGACCATTCTCATTTTGTATACAATACTAACCTATTCCTACAGAAAACTGAATAGTATGCGATTGATTAGAACATTACACTGTCATTCACAAACATAAATTTTACACAGAGCTTTCATTCTGACATTTCCTAAATTCTAAGGGTTGGATCTCTGATGAAAGTTTCTAGGCTTTTAACAAACTGAAAACTACAATAAACTATGACTACAACTATCATAGTAATATTAATGAATTGTCAGCACAAGACCTCTGGATTTTAATATTAGTATATTAGCATTCATAGTGTTAATATTAGTTAATATATTTGCATTCATGTGAAATAAAATAAACTCCATCAAATCATCGGGCTGACATCTTTAATATACTCCAGGATGAGAAAGGTGAAAAAATGATCACTGGTCACTTTGCTTAAGCAAAGGACTGAAAATGTTCAGAAATGCTGTATTCTGTTTAAGACTCTGAAAGTGTGAGCACAGATTTTTATGCCTGTTCTCCCCCAATTCAGTTACAGATCCCATACTGACACTCTGTCATCCAATCTTTTCAACCAGTGGCTTTCAGTACCTTTAGTATCCATCTCCTTCCCCATTTCTCTGCCAGAGCTTGCTCTTCACATGCAATTTTCCTCAGTCTAACATGGTTTGAAATGTGAAGCAAATGCCACTGTCAGTTAAGAAAAGACCTACCAACACACAAGCAATCACTAGTTAGCAGCACAATTGATTTTATTAAACCACTTGGCTGCATTATCTCACGTTGGAACATTCATGACAACATACTTTCATCCTTACCTGCAAGAGTATGTTGTCTCCCCTCCTTTGAACACCTTCCCACAGAGCTGGGAGGTTCCACTCTGTTGTAGTTTCTCCAGGAATGTATCTGGGTCTTCCCCAAACAAATAACATTCCAGAGGGTATAATATTGCTGCCTGGACCATTTCTTCTTGTTTCTCCAGCAAGGGGTCCATTTCAGCTGAGTAAATATTTGGCACATGTTTTGCCAAGCACTGTAAAAACGTAGCTTGGAAGTTGAATCTTTCATCACACCACTGAAAGAAAAGTACATAATGGATAAATTTAAATGAACTAAAAAAATTAAAGAAAATAGAATTAAGCACTTCTGTGAATCAAGAATGCTTTTCCACATCAGAAGTCAGTTCTGTATGCAAAAAAACCCAAGAAATATGGTTTCCCAAGAGTTTCTCTGCTATTTTCCTTTCAGTACCCACCACCTCTGTAACCTCTGTTCCCTTGAAGTTTTCTACTAAAACACTCTAAGGCAAGAGCTGGCAAGTGTGATGCCACTGTGTGCTACCCACACACAAACTAATTTTCAACTACGTGCTTGCCAACAGGGCAGCCAGTATACAAATCTTAATACTTGTTCAGCTGCTGACAAATGACAAGGGTTTCCCTGGTTTTGCTAGGAAGTAAGTTTGGGATTCATTCTTTAGTCTGCTGACAGTGACAAAACATACAGCAACTTAGTGGTCTTTGAAATTGTTACTCTTCAGTAAAATCATGTTGAAACTGGTCATCAAATTCAACAGTTACTGAAGAAGAAGCCCAACTGATGATATCAGTTTAATGTCCTTGGAAAAGCAGACTAAGATGTAATTTTATATTTACAAATTTTTTGCCAATAAATGTGGCAAATTTTTTTTTCATTGCATCTCAATGTTAGAAAAAATACATACTACAAAAGCAGAAACAACATAAACTGGTTTTGTGCCTCAACATAGTCTATAAACACAGAGATCTGGCTGCAGGAACTTCTTCATGTGTATGGAAAAACAGTGAAATAATTAAAAATGTCTGTATGAAATACATAGGAAGACTGATCAAATAAAGCTCTAGATGTTTAGGGATAGTTCCTGACCAAAAAAAAAAAAAAAAAAAAAAAAAGGCAGGAAAGTGACTAAAAGCTACCAATGGGTCATAAGCATTTAAAGAACTGTGGGAGATGGATGTCATTTTCCCTTACAGCACAGAGGGCATGTCCAGCTGGACATTTAAGACACTATTTGAAAGCCTTTTGAGAAAGACTTTTGGCTTTATTTTGGGGTAGCCTTCAACAATATGGCTCTTTCTTAGAAATAAGTAAAAAATTTTCCATTGCTACACATTCTGCTTTGGCTTCAGCCTCCTCAAGATAGCAGCATTGTCCTATCCTGGCAGTAAACTCCAAGATACTTTCCATTTTTTTTAATATTTAGAAACACCTTTTGTTTTTCCTTATTGTGAATCAAGTTAAGTTTACCCAACAAGGCTCCTAAGGACAGCCTCCTTTCATACACACCCTTGATCTATGCACAAAAAATTATTTTTGCTAGGGAAAAAAATATATTCAGAACTTCACAAATAGCTCTAAAGGGAGTTTCCCCTAGGCCAGCAAGCAGAGAATGAGCAAAGCAACCAGCAAAGAGACTGGATTGAGAGAGGGCTCAAAGTAGCAGATTATTCAGGTTTTTTGAAGTAATGAAAATGCACAAAAAATCCTGATATCTGATTTTAAATGAAACCTACATCAACTGAATGAATTAATTGGCCCCCGAAATTGACAAAGATAAGGGATCGAACAATAGACCTATGAAGCTACAGCTACTTTATTACCATAGATTACAACGGTTCTCAAAAAAAAAAAATTTAATCTAGAACACATGCACACCGAAGTGCTGCAATCCCAGTACACTTAAAAGCAGATCTACAAACATGTCGAAATTACATTATTTTTCTTCTGAAAAATTGCATGTCTAGCTAGTACAAACAAGTACAAAAAACTGTTTGCATACAAAATCTAAACAGAAGAAATAAAAATGAGAAACCAAGTTGAAACTCCCTCAATTAACAGTAATATCCATTACCCAAAACTAAACTGTTAAAAGAGATTTGTTTCATGTTGTTGTCCCTCTAAAGACTTGCTTTTTTTGTCTTTCATGGGACACGCTGCACTTCTACTGTTGAGTTTTAGCATGAGGCTTCTACTGATATTTTGGCCGTAAATCTTCTTTAGCATTACCCTTAGGTAGTCCATTACTACTTCATTTATCACCACAATCCATGAACTCAAAGTAGAGGAAGAAAATGCATGGCAAACAATGATGAAAAAGAAAAACCATGGATAATGTGGCCAAGCAGGAGAGCAAATTTGTCCTCAATTCATCCTAACATATCCTAATTTTGTAAGTGCACTCAAATATATAGGTATGTATTTATTTTCACATATTCACAATGCTAAGGAACAAAAGAAAAAGAAAACAAATTAACTGATTGCCTTTTTATTTTAAATAATTTGCTCACATTTTTCAACTACTTAGCAACAATTTTTGTAATAAAAATTATTTTTACCTGGGGCGTAAAGACACCAAATTGTAAAAGACAACCTAGATGGGGGTTGTCATAAAGATACCAAATTATAAAAGGTAAATTAAAACTGAATTGCTTGATCACGTCTGATTTAAGATGACTGGAAGTAAATTATTCTTATCATAATTAAAATCCCTAATCCAATGTTCCTCCATCATTTTTTTCCCCTTTAACTTTTTGTTTTGTTTTAATTCACCTGTACTGCATTATGGCTTTAGCAAGTTCCCCTCCAAATCTGGTTACTATATTTGTTCAAATGTGAGGGTGTGGGGTGGCCCCTTGGCATGCTCTCTTGCTGAAGCACAAGAGAATCCCAGTCTTTAGTTCTTCTATACTAATAAGCTATGATCTCAAGAGACGGTGTAAGTTTAGCTCTTGCATTGTTGGAACAGATCACATCATAGCTTCAAGAAAAACAGGGCTAAACTTTCCTGAATATCTGCCAGAAGTATAGAATGGGTTCTCACACAGTCTAACTCACAGGCATTTCAAGCATTCTTGTGTGAAACTTTCAATTCCATTTCAATGTTTTCCAGAGAAGGGAGGACAGGAAGCAGGGAACAAGAGGAAAGAAGAGAGATAACTCTCTCAAGCAGGGTGGCTGCCTTCTATCAAACACACTAAATTACATCCTTAACCTATACATCACCCAGGAAATACTCGTTATATGTACAAGAAAAGTGAGAATATTCTTTTTCTTATTTCCAAGCAGGTAGATGCACCAGGCTAAACTTCAGACCTATCCCATATCCTCTGTGTTTCATAGGAGAAGCAATTTACCCTTGCATCAAAATAGGTTTAGGATACTATATTCAACAGTATAAAATTACACACAAAAATATCAAATACAGAAGCTGCCAAATAAAGCACACCCCTACATTAAGACTGACTGTCCAATGCCAGCTGGGTCCTCTTGTGCACACACACAGAAATTCAGGTTACAATACCTCGATTAACACTTTGATCCCATCTTCCCTCTGCTTGCTCACTCCTTTACCTGAGCACATAACACCTGCTAAGTGCTCAGTTACTACAGATAAGAATACTATACAAACAAATAAATTGTTAGTTCTTCTTTACTGACTGCATATACATATACTGACCCTATATAAAAATACTGTATCATCATTGTTTAAGTTCCCAGCATCCTAGGCACTGGATGAGCTAGGAGTCTAGAAAAGCCTAAGAGCTGTGCAAGTCTGCTGCAAGCAGAGATAGGGCTTGCACTGCAGCTTTCTGCCCAGCACTGGCACAGGTTGTCCTGAGAGGTTGTGGAATCACCACCCTTGGACAACAGGACATGGTCCTGCACAGCCTCTCCTAGGTGACCCTGCTTGAAAAGGAAGTTTGGACAAGATGACATCCAGAGGTTCCTTCCAGCGTCAACCATTCTGCAATTCAAGCACATTTACCAGGAGAAATCTTATTTCAGAAGTTAACTTTCCAATTTCTGCTCTAAGTAAGCTCCACAGAAAAGTAATTTTCCAAATTTTATTCTACTCAAAAAATTAATTTGAAACAATGTACTGAAGCAGGCAGGGGTCACAAGACAGCAGAATTAAGGCAAAAACATAGTCATGTAACTCTCCACAGCCTCCAGTGTTCATGCCCTACTCACTGGGGTCCACAGCCAGGAACTAACAGAGGAAAGCGCAGAGGAAACAACTGAAAATACTCCACTCCAACTGATACTATTCCACTGAAAAATATTTTTGGGCTGCTAACTGAAAATTACCTCCTCGCACACTTGGAGTACTTAAAGGTTCATCTCAAATATGAATTCTGAAATTTCTCAGATTTAAATATGTGAACTAGCAACTTTATTAAAGTTCTTTTGATGGGCTTTTTGGTAATTTTTAAATTTTTCTTACAAGGCAAACAAATAAAACAGCCACAAGCAACGACCAGAATGAGCTATGGGAGTAATCATGGCAGGAGCACACCACCACTTTTCCTGTGGAGGGAGCAACATCCACACTGTGTCAATGGGCATCCCCAGATATTGAAAACAGCAGGCAAAGGTCATGCTCCAGAACCTGACACTAGTGAAGAGCATATGTCAAAGACACATATTGGCTCCTATATCCTCTCTTATATTTTTTAATTTCTACAGCCTCATCTCTTTTTCTCCTTTAATCATGCGTTCCTGTCACAAAAAAGGGAAAGACACCAGGAAGAGATGCAAACCTGTGGTTCTTAAGGTTTTGTAAAAAAGAGCAGAGACAGCATCTATTTTATTCAAGACATTTCATTTGTTCTGTATAAGAAAAGCAGTTATTTGTAATCTTAAATGTTTTTTCAGAAGAATATGGCTACAGAAGCAGTACCTCAAAAAAAGCACTTGAGAAAGAAACATTAGGAGATAATTTCCTGTATGGAAACATGTCCTCGTCTGTGAGAGCAAACTACTACTAATTCTTCAGAGGTGTAAGCATAAAGAGATCTTTCCAAAAATTGATTCCAAACAAACAGCCAATTTTCTCCTACATTTAAAAGGACAGTTTGTAGATTTTCTTCCAAACCTTTTAAAGAAGCAACATATTAGAAAAGGTCAGAGGATGAAGAATTGTATTTGCTTACAAATACTGCTACAGAAAGAGCA